CGAGGCGCGCAGCGTGCGGAACCTCACGCGTATCATACTCATCATGAATGTTGCGGCCGTGCATACGACTTCGCAGAGCTTTACACATTTGTTGTATCTGATCGCAGCAAACCCCGCTTGGGCGGCCACGCTCCGTGAGGAGATCGAGCAGGTCATCGAGCAGTATGGCTACGACAAAGAGTCACTCGATCGCATGCGCAGGCTCGACAGCTTCATTCAGGAGTCCCTCCGCTTCAACGGTCTTGGTGTGTGTAAGTAGTCGTTTTGCTTGCTTGAACTTGTCTCTGCTTACAAGATGTACAGTGGCCTCGACGAAGCTCGCATTGCAGGATTTTGCGCTGTCCGACGGAACTATCCTCCCCAAGGGCACATTCGTCGCCGCACCGCTCCGCGCAATGCATCACGACGATGGGAACTACGCGGATGCGGGCACCTTCCAGCCTTGGCGCTTCTATCGCGAAGTAGACGAGTGTGGCGGTGAGGCGAACGCCCAGTCGATGACCACCACCACAACGACGTACCTGAGTTTTGGACACGGCAAGACTGCCTGGTATGTCCAGCCAATTTACATTTTTCTGCAGACATAGATCCTGATCCGGATTCGGTGCAGCCCTGGACGCTTCTTCGCCGCCCTCGAGTTGAAGATGATTACGGCGAACCTGCTGCTGAACTATGACGTCAAGCTCGAAGGTGACAGCACCGAGATCCCACCCGTCTCGTGGTATATCGCCTCCCGTGTGCCAAATATGAAAGCCAATGTGCTCTTCAGGCGCAGGCAAAAGGATTGAGCATGGACGCTGCTAGGGCTATATATTCTTTGCCACTTTTCTCTGCCGACCATTAACAGTCTGGCTATCGATGAGGACGAGGCGGAGGAGCAGGAGGATACAGTACTACGGACCAGCTCCCAGTGAAAGCGAATGCTGTGATTCCCGTTCAGTAGCCTGGCACAATACACTGTGTTGGGGTACCAAGCGTCGAGCCATGTGGCAACAGAGGACAACTCGCTCCGCTTGTCCTCTCCGAGTCGCGGTTTTCCGAACTTAACAGTAAAAGAGAAACGCTTGGGCGATAACAACAGCGGAACGCGAAACGCGACAAAATCTTCTCAAAACTCGTCGCAAGAAAACTCGAGCTCGAACTCCTACAGGCACCTTGTGCGGGCTGGTCATACACTGAGCTCAGCGCGTCCACTAGGTCCCTCTCCTCCTCACTCAGACGTACCGTCGGGCACGGGCACGTCCGGCGTGTAGTACAACGGTTCGGGACGGCCGCGGTCCTGCGCAACCAGACACAGCGACGAGCGTGGATCTGGATGCTTGTGTCCGCCAGGATGCACTGGAACGCTATCTACTATAGAGGGATTCGCGCCAGGTCATGCCGCGTGTCGTTCGACACCGCCGACGACGACTGCGGAGGCGCGTGAGCATGGAATTCGCGGCATGATGGGGTCGATCGCGTACTACAGTGTACCCTATAATCCATACCTCTAGGACGTCTGTCTCCAGCGTGCGATGCCTCTGCTCGGGGAACTGGCGTTCCATATCCTTCTGCGGCTGCCGATCGTCTACGGAGTTGCGGAGACTTGGACAAGGTCGGGCATCGATTCCTCTTGCTGTGCTTCTTGTCTGCATCATTGCATTCTTTGGTGCCGTCTGTCAAGTTGTGTGTCCAGGAGAGGTCTTATGTTTCCGCCTAAAATTTGGATTCTTTCAGACAGATGAAGGCGAGCCTGAGGAAGTTCGACGGCTAATTAGAAGACAGGAGGGAAGACGGGAGCTTCGACGCGGCGCGAGTGACGTGACAGTCGCGAACCGTCACCGGCACCTCCCATCACTACCGCGAGCGTCACGTTTCTTCAGTTTCTTCCGTATGGCAGAGACCGGTCGAACTTTCGAAACGGGCCCCTCGCCGGTATGCGGGTGCCCTGCTTGGACCAGTGTGTGTTTTGACCACAGATAGTGTCTGGAGTTCGCGATGCGTCCCGATTTTGACGAATGACGACCTGGCGGGAGACAGGCACATTTGTTTCCCGTGCCTGATACTTGATACTCGAGCTCTCCTAGCTGCACGAGTGGAGTTATCCTGAGTAAATACTGCTTATCCTGGCTGTTGTGCAATTTATTCTCACCACCTAGTAGTAGAAACCCTCAGAGATGAAGGCGCAGGATCTACTAGTAAGTCTGTGTCATGAATATTACATAGTCCGGATGGTTCTCCCAGATTCCACAGTATTCTTTTACTTTCTATACACCTCTGTATATTTGTAGTATAATCTAGTTATTGAGTCTGACATGTATATAAGGAGCTCGTACTGCTCAATAACAAGCCAGACTCGAGCTGGTCTTTACTCACCTCCATTCCTCTTGTCTGTCTCCTCAGCCTTGTCGTAGCCCAGTCCAGTTGGATTGTTGGTTGCTGACATTAGCTCGAGTCTCCACCAACTGCCCTACGACGATCCTCGTCACTCTCACACCAACCATCACATATCTCCACACGACGATCCACTCAATACACATCTGACTCTCACCCTAACTCCTAACCCTACCAAATTCTACCGCATCAAGACCCAGACCCCTGGAACCCTTCTCTGTGCACTTGCACAACTTTTACCATATCACATCCCCGAAGTCACCTCTGTAATCACTAGCCCTTAGGTGGCTAGACAGAGCTCCATCCTATTAGAATCGTACTTTGCCCTACCATAGGCAGAGTTAAACGCTTTGCGCAGTGCAAGTGGATATTCCTGAGTACGACGTGGCAACCGGCTGAGGCTGGGCATCGGAAAAGAGATAGCAGTTAGATCGGTGATCCCTGTCAGGGCGTCAGACTGGAGAGACATAATCGCTCTTTGGGCTGCTATACTATTCCTAGAACTGTATTAAGATAGCATTTTGGTTCTTTTTTCGGAAATTCCTATCTTTGGCAAACTCTACCCCTGATCTGGTTGTTACAACACGATTAGTCCCAGGGTTTGCTGCAACCAGCCCCACGGACCCAACACCCTATGACCACGCTTTCTTGTGATTGTAGAGGACATACACATTGAGAACTAGAAGGGAGATCCATCTACATACGCGGCGATAACGTACGGTACTGTGCGCAACAACCGTGCCCACACTCTCTGGACAATAGCAGTCGTTGTCCTCGGTGCAGAGAAGGATTACGTGGAGAACTGCTACAAAGAGTTCCCACAGGAGGACCCTCAGAATCCCTCGCAGTCTCGCAACCCATAGCATCTGGTTCAGAACCCAGAACCAGACGAGACACTCTTGAATCGGTCACTGACCATCTCTGCTCAATCGCCCTCGGAGAATCCAAAGCACCACCAGAGGGCCCACCAAACCCTGTAGAAGAAGCCGTAGAAGATTCTGAAGCCTCAAACCCACCTTCCCAATGTTCTCCCACCCCACCCTCATCTCCATCCGATCCCGGCGCGATGGCCAAGAATCAAGACAGTGGTGCGTTCCTAAATGGAAGCGCGATGAAACCCGACTCCTTTGACAGCACGAAATCCAAGTACATCACTTGAAAGACGCAGATGAAACTGTATGTAGTCACGCAAAGGAAACGGCTACCAGAACAATTTGACAGGGTCCTCATGATCCTGTCTTACATGAAAGGTGGACATGCGGGCGAATACGTCGCCACGTTCATGAAGAAATATGACACGGACGAAAACGCTGTGATACAGACCATGAAGACACTGTGAGAAGACCTAGATAGGCACATCCTAATCGAGAAGCAGGCCAAAGCATATGATCGGCTTCAAGCAATGCAGATGGGAATGCTATCGGCACAAGAGTTTTTCTCGAAATTCGAGTTGTGCGCCTTCCAGGCAAATATTCATGATTTTGAAGCACATTTCCGAGAACTTAAGTTGCTTCTAGAAAAAGCACTCCGGGCTGACATCATTCAGCTTTTGTACAATTCCTCGGAGGAACTCCCAACCACCTACGCGCTCTACAAGTTACGGGTCACGCGCATTGACCTTAACCAGCAACAATACCGCTGAAGAAACCCACAGTCCCAATGACAGGGACAGTTCCAGCCGAGACAACAGCAGGTGCAGAACACACCGCGAGCACAAACTAATGCGCCTGCGCCAGCAGCTTCTACAGCGCCAGTTCAGACACGGCGCGACGGAACCGGTGTCACCTTTGGCGGCAGAGGACAACCGATGGAGTTAGACCAGGCACGACACCAAGGTCTCTGCTTCCGATGTGGCCAACAAGGTCACATATCACAGAATTGCCCTAATCGGCAACAAGCCCAACAAGTACAGGCCGCAGAAATCCCGGCAGTTCCTACTGCCAATACATTTACTCCACTTGCGACACTGAACGAAGCTCCTGCCACGACAGCAGAACCATTTGACTGGAAGACGGCAATTCACGAAGAAATTCGTGTGGCCATGAAGGGTTTTGCAAGCGGTCAGCCAGGTGCGTAGCCGAGTTGACTGAAGAGAATTTCACGAACTATCTGTGTTCTTGGTTTGGAGTTCCCATGTATATACAAAAGAAAGGGGCCTCCGCAGAGCGGCGCGGAGAGGCTCAACCCTCTTGCTTAATTCCCCCCAATAAAAATTATTCTCTACTCCAGAAACACAGACTGAATCTACGCAGTGGCAACGCCACAACTCTTAGACGGCGGCTTGGATCCGCTAGTGGATAATCAACAAAGAAGCCGCAGCGCTTAGATTGTTGACTGAATGGGTACACTCAAAGAAGAGTGTTGACGCCTCAGAAGCCTGTATGAACCAAATCAGGCAAATGAAAGAAGAAGAAGCAATAGACTTTTTGAACGAATTACGAAAGAAGCCTCGATTTATTTGAGGAAGGAAGGGGACACAGATGGACGTCCCAATGATTGTTACTATCCTGGACATACAACAGCGCTTATCAGTCAAAGCGCTATTAGATACAGGATGCACCGGATCATCAATTAATGTGCAGTTTGTCTGCGATAACAACATCGCTACAAAGAAACTGCCATCACTGATCCCTGTCTACAACGCGGACGGCACGCATAATGTCAGCGGCGCTATCACCGATTTTGTTGAGCTAAGGGTAGAAATTCAGGATCATGTTGAACGACTCCCTTTCACTGTTACCAATCTAGGAAAGACCCCGATCTTCCTCGGATATGAGTGGCTCCAGATTCATAATCCATCTATCGATTGGCAGGAACAAGTCATTAAGTTTGACAGGTGCCCAACTACCTGCAAATACACTGCCCAGTTAATTGATATTGATTCCGATCACGAAGAACCCAGCGATCCGGAGGCTCGCCTAGAAGAAGGAGATAGAATCTTTATCCTAGATTACAAAACCTACTTTGCTACGGGAGCAGCATGTATTCGCACTACGGCCACCGATCTAGCCATTAAGGAGAGTCTGAAACACGAGGCTAAGACGTTTGAAAACACCATCCCAAGTCACTATCACGACTACTCCGACATGTTTAGCAAAGAAGACTTTGATTCTTTACCACAAAGACGACCATGTGACCATGCAATCGAACTCACACCAGGCGCGCAACCAATCAGTTGCAAAGTTTACCCTATCTCTGTAAATGAACAAAAAGAACTTGATGAGTTCATAGAAGAGAACCTCCGAACCGGGAGAATCTGACCATCGAAATCCCCATGGGCTTCTCCATTCTTCTTTGTCAAGAAAAAAGATGGGCGACTTTGACCTGTACAAGATTATCAGAAGCTGAATGAGCTGACAATTAAAAACTGCTACCCACTTCCCTTGATACAGGAACTAGTGGATAAGCTGAAGCA